ACCTGAACTCGACTTCCAGACCAACGTGAAAAATAGCTGAAGTGCCTTTTAAATAAATTATGCCTAAGATATTCGAAAATCGCCACTTTCAGTCTTCCAGAGCGGCATCACTGTAATTCAGCACTATTTTAGGCTGTGGTCCTGTGCTGAGCACAATATTTCAATTCTGTTGAGAAACTGAACAGGGCTCTTTGGTAAACATGTCTACAAATTACAGTGAGAGTGGCAGTGGGGGAAAAAGCCCTCCACCTCACGGGGATGCATAACTGGATTTGGTTCAGTCATATTTCATTGATTTGTAGGAAGCAGACCCATGGCATGCTTCAAAATACAAGAAAAGTCAAAGCACAGAAAGTCAGAGAGTACAAACGGCAGAAAACCACTCCAGTGGATCACAGAAGACCACGCAAAGGGAAACATGAATTTCCATCAACTGCCAGGCAGAGAAATCAGCAGACACAGCAGACATTCCAGGTAAAGACATTTGTTGGTTTCAAAGGCTTGCTTTCCCCACATCACCATCGTCCTGTTAGGGTGGGGCTGCTACACTGCGCTCATACGCTCACCATTTCCCAGTGGCAAACGTTTCCTCCGTACTTTATGGTTACGTGCATTTTGTTTTCTCTCCTGAGGGTTACAGAATAAGATGCTTAGAAAGAATATACACCAAAGTGTCCACGGGGACGATGATGACAGTCCGAGAGTTCACGGGAACTCAGGACGTTTAGCCAGCATCCTCACCTCAGTATTGTCATATTGGTACTGATATTCTAGAAATGAAGTCATATACAGGTAAACCAATCACCGAGGTTACGGCAGCTCCGATTGCTGCTCAATTCATGTCATCACCAGTGATTGCCTTCCTGTGTTAAATATGGAATGCATCACACTGGGGGGTTCCCACACACCATGGGAGACCCGTGACTGTACAGACCTGATGTTGGGAGAAAAGCAAATACTTGCGTGTGCCCACACGAACTGTCTCCTGGTCTCATGAGAAACACCACGAAGTGGCAGAGCCACAGGTACCTGGTGGCCTTGGCTTTGACTCAGTTGACTTTTGGCTGAGCCACTGAGTCTCAGCAGGCTTGCCTCTTTCCCTGCAGAGTACCTCAAGGAGATGCTGTGATTGCACCCTCACTGCAGTTAGAACACAAGTTCCTCTTCCTTTACAGCTAATTCCATTAGAATTCTGCATGCTGTCGGGACTCTGTAAATGCGGAAGTGGAATTTCTGCACGTGGGGCCAGCTTCCCATGCCTGTGGGCTGTGTCCTCTTACTGAGACTAGGTCTATGAACAAAGTCCTTAAAGGTGAGATGTGGCACGGAGCCACCAGTGTACCCCACAGGGCCAGTGAGGATATGGATCACAGGCTTGATGAGTGTGCGTGCAGCCTCCTCCTTGCTGCCGCAGCCCGCTTAGCCATGCCAAACCTCACTTGCTCCATGACAGTCTCCTGCTGAGGAAGTGTCTGGCTTGCACGATGGCTGGGACTTGGCAATGTGATTTGAGCTTGCCTCACTTTTTACTTATTCCTGAGTCATCCATCCTCTCTGATGAGATGAGGCTCAAGCTTTTTCTTGCTCTGTATGAAAGGAGAAGCTGGGGAGAGGCCCTATGGCTAGCTGACTTCACACACAGGACTGGGTACGAAGAGTAAGCATAGGGTCACAAGATAGTTGCGTTTTAAGATTTTTGTTTTATGTGCATGTGTGAGTGCAGGTGCTTGCAGAGACCAGAAGAGGGCATCAGATCCCCTGGAGCTGGAGTTTCATGCACGGGTGAGCTGCCCAGTGTGGGTGCTGGGAACTGATCTTGGGTCCTCTGGAAGAGCAATAACTGCTCTTGGTGGCTGAGCCCTCTCTTTGGCCCCAGTAGTTGCATTTTATTTTTTATTTTTTTAAGTTATTTTATTTTATTTTATTTTGTCTTTTTGAGACAGGGTCTCCCTGTAGCCCCAGCCATCCTGGAACTCACTATGTAGACCAGGCTGGCCTTGAACTCACAGAGATCCACCTGCCTCTGCCTCCTGAATGCTGGGATTAAAGGTGTGCGCCACCATGCCTGGCTATTTTGCTTTTTAAAAATTTTTTAATTTTTATTTTATGTGTGTGCGTGTATTCCCTGCACATAGGTAAGTGCACCTGTGTTGTGAAATGCCCGCGGAGGACAGAAGAGGCTGTCAGATCCCTTGGAGCTGGAGTTACGGACAGTTGTTAGCTGCCATGTGGGAGCTGGGATTTGAACCTGGGTCTTCTGCAAGAACAACCAGTGTTTTTAACTGCTGAGCCATCTCTCCAGCCCCCAGTAGTTGCATTTTAATTACCATGTTTGGTAATTCTGTTCTACTTGTAGCCCATTACTGTAATAAAATGCTGATGCTGTGCAATGAACCTGTCAAACTCACAGGATAATTTTTGTCAAAAGTGTTTCTGTCCACCCTTTGTGTCCATGTAACATGTATCTGGTTAAGAGACTGTGTACAAGGAAAGCCCGAGTTCAGGGAGGTGAACTGATCCACCAGAATTGCGTGAATGTATGGGGGTTTTCTCTTCCGGTCTTGGGTCTTGTTCACTGGTTCATAGACTTTTTTTTTTTTTCTCTAAAAAAGGGGTTTAATTTTGGTAGACAGCATGAACATGGTAGCTAAAGTATTTAGAGCTAAACAAAACTACTTGGTTTATCAGTGATGGATTTTATCGAGCGTGTCTTATGGGATTAGTATGTATGTAACCAGGGTCGGGGAGTAAGGTGGGGAAATCGGGGGTAGGTAAATAACATAAGACACAGGCCTTGCTAATGTCAGTAATCTAGAAAGATACCCAATAGACCACGTGATGTCCTGCATGGCCTCTGCAGCCTGTGGAAGGACCCCAGGAGAAAGTCTGGTATGGTCAGGATGTTCCTTCTGATGAAGGGATCTTTACACTGTGGGGAAGCTCATGTTTGTGTTTTTCTCTCCTTTTGACTCTGTGGCTCTGGCTTGACCTGACTTCTAGCTTTTAAGAGGAGATGATGAGCAAGAATGTTTCCATCCACTGTCCAATAACCCCCTTCTGTTAGCTTTGTGGAAGTGAGACCCCAGCCCCTGGCCAAGTCTGGAGCAAGCTTCTTCTCTGGGCTCCACAGAAGGCATCTAAAGAGGGCCACTGTGAGGCCCAACCAGGACACGCAGAAGTCACCAGGAAGGTGATGTCTGGTTCAGAGAATCACAACAGTTGTGTTTTAAATTACCCCTTCCTGCTTTTAAAATCTGAAAAATTACCTATTTTGGTGAAAAATGGTATTTCTTCTTTTTTAAAATTTTAATTTTGTGTGTGTTGTGTGATATAGGCACTTGTTAGTGTGGCTGTGTACATGTGTGTGCATGTGGATGCCACATGTTGGTGTTTGGTACCCTTTCTCAACTGTTCTCTACTTTATTTTTATTTTATGTGTATGAGTATATTGCTTGCATATATGTATATACACCCATGTCATATAGTGTCCTTGGTGATCAGAAGAGGGCATTAGATCCCCTGGAACTGGAGTTACAGAGGGTTGTTAGCCACCAAGTGGGTGCTGGGAATTGAACCCGGGTCCTCTGCAGGAGCAGCCAGTGCTCTTAACTGCTGAGCCATCTTGTCAGCCCTTCCACTTTATTTTTTGAGACAGGGTCTGAATGTGAAGCTCAGTGACTGACCAGCCAGGGTGGCCGGTGACTGAGCCTCAGGGACCCTTCAGTGAAAACAGTTTTTCTTGTAGTAAAGAGTTGATTTTTTTTCTCCCAGAAGTTGTAATAAACATAATGCAAATGCCATGCAGAACAGATCAAATTCCAGGCACTAAAACTGAGTGCGACAGACCCCACCTTGATGGTCGGTTGTCACGGGTCCAGTGGAGTGATACCAAATCTCCTGGCCATTCTGCTGGCATAGCCCACCTTGGAAGAAGAGCACAAGTCCTTCACTCAGTCAGTCAACAAAAGCCAGTGACCCAGCTTTCCTTATACATTTTCTCCCTGAACATGTTGCTTTCAATTTTATATTAGAAGAGGAGAAGGTCTAGAAATTGACCAGCTCTGGTGCTTTCCTGAGGAGTAGTTTGTTTCCTGGGTCTTCAAGGCCCACAGCTGAAGAAACTTCATTACAACTAACAGCCACAGGTTTAAAGACCCGGAGCCAAAGGTCTGTATGCAGGATAAAGAATTCCATCTTGGGGGATCAGGTGGATGAACTTGTTGGCTGACTGTCATTACTGCAGAGGGAACTTGAGCAGGTTGGGCACTCTCAATAGCTTCTCCTTTCAGCCCAACAGCTGCCTTTGTGTTTTTAAGGCAAATAATAAAGTGGCAGGAAGGCTGGGGGTTTGGCTGAATGAGTGGAGTACTTGCCAAGCATGCACAAAGCCCTAGGATAGATCCCCAGCCCTGAATAAACTGGGCATGGGCACACATGTCTGTAATTCTAGTACTTCGGAGGTGGAGGCAGGAAGATGAGTTCGAGGATCGTCCCTCCTACTTGGTGAGTTCATGGCCAGCCTGGGATATGTAAGACCCTGTCTCAAAAATAAAAAGTGATGAAAGTAAAAGCTGAACAATAAAGGGTAGATTGGTTGACTTCCACCACAACGAGGCCCGTCAACCCTGTCCATTGAGATGAGGTATCTTGGGTCCCTAAAAATCTCTGAACAAGGAAGCAGTCAAAACTGCTTGGGAAATTGCATGGAGTCCACTAGCCAAAAACGTGGTTCTTCCTTCACAGTGGGGAAATCCAAGAGGCAACATGTGTGCGTGCTCAGCCACAGGCACACTCTCTGTAATGTTCTGCTTGGTCTCCTGGTTGCGCCTTGGGGCCATTTTAGTTTACCAGGTCTTTGCAAGACTGTGAGTTCCTAAGACATGTTTCCTGACTGTAGAATGCTGCTCCCAAAATGCATGCTTGAAATATTAAAAGCTTAAAGACAGATGAAATACTTTCAGTGGAAGGAGAGCCCACAATGACTAGATGACGCAGGGTTATCAGGTATGCATGATTTTATTTAAAATGTGGCCAATAAGATTTTCCACTTGGAATGAACATTTTACCTCTCTCTGCATGTTATAATAAACAGTATTTCCTCATTTCATGAAGTTCCTTAGAAAGTTCTAGGTAATTTAACAGAAGAGAAAATGAAAGCGTGGGGGGGTTAAACAGGAAGTTTACACCATGGCAAGGTGCTCACGCCTCAACCTCAGGGACACAAGTGGCTAGTGGGTGAAGTAACAGACCCCGTCATGCAAGTCCTCCTGGGGTCACTCGGCGTCCTTTGGCAGTTCCGTTGTTTCTTGTCACTAGCACGGAAGACAAAATGAATCCGATGACTGTAGCGAATGGGAAACCGTCTTTTGATGAGTGAAGAGGAAACAGGAACACTAATGTACTGTGGTCGGAGCATTCCCTAATGTCTGGAGACTGTTCCCTCTGCATCCCAGGGGGTGCACTTGACATTCTGTCCCTCCCCACCCCTCTGGTAGCCAGAACACTCCCTGCCTCTCATCGAATGGCACTGGTTTATCTGTGAACAGTGGTAGCACAGCACAAAATCAGCACAGAGAGCACGCTCTGACCAAGTGGGCAGTTGTAGTTTTAAGTTATCACTAGAACCTGGCAATGTTAGAGTTGTGTTTTCATGAGCCAAAGGTCATAGCACAAATGAGGTCTAAATGTCGTCACAGCAGACCACAGGCCACAGAAAGAAAGATATGTCTTCAAGTTATGTTGACCTGCCAAGGGAAGAAACAGAGATAGAGAACACAGCAAACAGGGGCCAGCGGCGCCCGACGGCGTGTGGCACTCCCAACGTAGGAACAGCGCCTGGTGCATGAACATGGAGCGGGCAGGGGCACTGAGTTTCCTGCCGACTGCTCTGGGCGGCTGTACTGGAAGGAAGCCAAGGGCAACGCGACAGGTGGGCAGAGGGGGAGGCAGGCTGGGAACTGTTATCATCTCAACATTTCTTCTAATGTGACTTAGAAATGATCATTCATTCATTATGGAAACGTAATCCCGAGCAGCGTTTGCTCTTTCTCTCCATAAACACATCAGTTCATAAATAACTTAAGTGTGTCCTTGGCATTCACGACATAGTTCGGCTGGAGTAGAAAAGGGTGGAGGAGCAGCAGTGGTAGGAGGAGATGGCAGGGGTGAAGTGTGGACACGCTCAAGCGTCTAGGGCACGTGCAGACATCAGCCATCAGACACGGGTGGGGTGACCCAGCCGTATTTCTCATGAGTTTTCACCAAACTCTTAAAGGTAGCTTCGGCTTCCTTGCGACTGAAGGACTTTTTTGACTTCCCGGCTTTTCTGCAGATCCGTCCCTGGGTAAGATGAGAAGAAACACCAGGTTAGAGGCTCAGCAGGTCTCCCACCAGACCTCCCACCAGCTCGGTCGAAGGCACACAAAGTAGTGGGCATTTCTGCTGCCTGAATCAAGGAGGTGTGTTGGCCACAAGTAAGGAGAGGACACTCTCACAGGACAGATGCGGGTGTTAGAGCTTTGCCACAGAACACATGGGAAGCCAGGGACTGGCAAACCTTCAGAGGTCCAGGTCCCAAACCCACACCTCAGCTTTATCCAAACTGGTTCGTTCTGTGATGCTGGAAGTCAGCCTTTGCCTGCGTTCCTGAGAGACAATTGAAGGACCAGCTTTAGAAACAGAACATCAATTCAGAGAGCCACAACCTTCTCACCAGAATGTTTCAAGTGTAACTTCTTTCATGATAGTGGAGGTACAATTGGACCTAGGTATGTATATTTTGTATTCACAAATAACTGCAAACTCTGATTTCTTAAAAAACCCGACCTTGGGGGCTGGAGACATGGCTCGGTGGTTAAGAGCCCTGGCTGCTCTTCCAGAGGACCCAGGTTCGATTCCTAGCACTCACACGGCAGCTAACAACCGTCCATATCTTCAGTTCCACGGGATCTGTGCTAGTTTCTCCATTGCTGTGACAAAAGACTCTGACCAATACCAACTTGGGGAGGAAAGGGTTTATTTGTCTTACATCTCCCAGGTCACAGTTCATCAGGGAGCCCAAGGGAGGAACTCAGGGCAGGAACCTGGAGGCAGGAGCTGGAGCACAGGCCATGGAGGAACGCTGCTTACTGGCTTGCTCCCGTGGCCCCTGCTCAACCTGCTTTCTTGCAGAACATAGGCCCACCTGCCCAGGGGTGGCACCACCCACAGTGGGCTGGGCCCTCCCACATTACTCAGCAATCAAGAAGATGCCCTACAGACTTGGCCACAGGCCAGCCCAATGGAGGAAATTCCCCAATTGAAGCTCCTTCTACCCAGATGTGTCAAGTTGACACTAAATCATCCAGCTAAGGATACGACGAACTCTTCGGACCTCCCTGAGCACTAAGTGACACAGGTGCACTTACACAAATGCAGGCAATACACTCATACACACACAAAACAAAAATAATAAAATATAAAAAAACTCAACCTTTCGAACAATTACTAAATTTCTGTCATTTCAGAGCCATTTTATGCATTACATAGCTTGGGAGGTAGGTGGACTTCAGGGGTCAAGATCACCCCCAGAACAACCATCTGTATTCTGAAGAACTGAAGACTGGGTCTTGCAGGGGACAGGGGGAACTGGTCCATTTTAATGTGACATGAGAAGACTCTGGCCAGGTGTGCCAAGCCTCTGACACTGGGGCATGGCATTGTCATTTACAAAAGTTCACACTTGAAAACGATGCAGCTGAGTTAGAAAAAGGGGAAACATATCTCGTAATGTTGTCAGTACACATGATTTTGTGTTGGGCTGAATTCATAGCTATCCTTGGCTGCACACAGGCTGAAGGCTGAGAGTTGGACACACCTACTAGGCCATGAGAAATGGAAAAACAAGTGACACTATTGAAAGGACACTACTGAGGGCCTGTGGCTTGCCACAGAAGGAAGGAACTGATGGAAGCAAGCCAGGAGTTGAGGTGGTCCTGGGCCCTTATTGCGGAGACTTGCAATGGCCCTTACTGCTTCAGAAGGGACAGATCTCCCCACTTGCCCCCTTGGCCTTGTGGACACATTTGCTCACCCTTACCCAGCTCTGACTTTTCCTGGGGTCTGTTTTCCTTGAGCACCCATGTACAGATGGGGCAGAAACAGCCCCAAAGACCTGGCTGCCTTCCATCAGCTAGCAAATACCTGCACTCATTTACCAGTTACTTCCTGTGTTTTTGAGCACTTACAGTAATTGTTTCTGAACAGGCTCTGCATTCCTGGCCCAGTACATGCCCACAAAGCCCTGCACATGCCCACTCTGAAGTTATAGTGCAATCGTGGTGGGCCTTGAGCTGGAGCCAGGCCTCCATACACCACTAGAGCCCTGCTCCCCAACAGTGGCAGCTGTCCAGGGCTGTGGGACCAGAGGGAGGCAGCTTGCAGCAACCCTGACTCTCTGATAAACAAAGTGGGAGAAGCTAGACCGACTTCTGGATCTAAGGCCAATGATGCCCGATCCTGGGAACTGAAGAACGGAGGAGCATCCTGCACATGCGAATCTAGGGCTTGTGCTTCCTGATCAATGAAGGCAGAAATCCAGGGGTCCGTGCTCTACACCTCCAGTGGCCTCCTAGCTTATTTATCTCTCTCCCACCTGGAGCAGCCGACGCCCTTTCTGAACGCTGCCAGGTGGAATCAAGTGAGCTTTTAGAGAAGGAAGACCGGAGGTGAGCAGAGGAAGCAGCTGCCCGCTGCCTGCAGAACTGTCCCCCAGTCTCTTCTGGAGGATTCTCGTGCTTAATTTTATAGCTTCATGATATACTTGGTGAAAAGGGACTACCAGGACCACCAAGACTAAACACATAACCATCACAGTCAGGGACCGAGATCAAAGTCCAAAGCTAAGTCATTAAACATTGTCAAAGTTTTCTTTTCAAGGAAGTTGGTGTCGATTTATATATCCAGTGAGACAAGATCGTGTGGACAATGTGAATATTTTAACCATTTCTTCCACTCTTTTCTACAACACTGATTTATGATCTGACTGAGAACTCTGAATTAAAGTCCTCAAACACAGGCTCACAGTAATCATGGAATATTTGGTTGCTTCTGTTACAAACGCATACTCTCCCTATTCTTTGTGAACATCCCAATTGTCAGAAGACACAACCAACGAAACCCCAGGGAACAAGCTGCCCTTTCTTGCCTTTTCTTCCCTAGAGGAATCATGAACACAGAGTCCAGTGAGCAGTCAATTCCAAGGCCAGGAGGAGTTTGGCAGGAGCCAGCCGCTCGGCGTACTTGGTCCACTGAGCTGCCATGGAGGCCCGCGCAGCCCTGGCTGTCACCCACCCTACAGTTGACACGTAGTTTTCATAGGTTGCCTGCCTGCCCTCTTCTGATGGTCCATTTCAATGTTACACAGAGCAACGCTGCACTTAAAACCAGGACTCTTTCCTTGCACTGCCATGTGGCTGAGGTTTTTGCTGATGTACCCTGCAAGTACCAGGACACTGGGAGAGGGGACCCCTACATGTCCTATGGACACTGCTAATGCTTAGGGACCCCCATTCTTCTTTTTAGGACATAGCCTCTTGAAATCTGTGCTTGGGGAATTGAAGTGTGGGCAATACTCCTGTGTGGTAGTAAATCTTATGAACTTGACAGGATCTAGCCTCACCTAGAAGACAAACCTCTGAGCATGTCTGTAAGGGAGTTTCTAGATTGCATTAATTGAGGTGAGAAGGCTCACCCTAAATGTGGGTGGCACCAATCCAAGGTCCCAGACCGACTAAAGAGTTTCTAGAAGGCAAGCTGAGCCAGTGTTCATCTCTCCCTGCTTCTTGACTGTGGATGTGATGTGAGCAGCTGCCTCACAATCCTGCTGCCATGACCCCCCACCACGGTAGACTGTGCCCTAGAACTGTGAGCTAAAATAACTCTTCCTTTCCTAAGTTACTTTTGTCAGGAATTTCATAGCAGCAAACAAGAAAAGTAACTAATACCCTATGTTACAGATTCACTAAGGCAAGAAAGTGAATCTGAAAACAGAGAATTTTGAAAGAGATACAACCAAGGGCTGTTCTTATTCTCAGAGCACTAAATTTCCTCCCTTTCCATATAATAACCAGACTCGTCTCAGATGTTCCCTTTGAATAACCCTCACTTCTTTTCATCAATATTTACTTAGATTTAATGAGAAAAGACCCAGATGTGACAATCTACCTCTGTAAGAGCTTGGTGTCACCATTCAGAGTTTATGCTTTTTTTTTTGACAGATTGATTTTTATTTTATGTGCATGAGTGTTTTGCCTGCATGTGTGTAAGTGCACCTACTGTGTGCACTTCATGAGGAGACCAGAAGAGGGCATCAAATCCCCGGGAATTAGAGATGCATACAGTTGTTAGCCACCATGTGGGTGCTGGGAAATGAACCTAGGTCCTCTGCAAGAGCAGCTGGTGCTTTTAATAGCTGAGCCATCTCTTCATCCCCATGACAACATTCTCAATTCTCCTGTCTCCTGAGCCATGAGTTGTGAGGGTGGAGTAATGGACCCTGGGGAATTTGACATGCCGAGCTCGAACAGCTCATCCAAACATTGACAGAGAAGGCTGTCAGCGAGATGAGAACACAGGACCTGGAGCTGCATTTGTGCAACAAAACCATTATTTGTGCCTTTGGTTTAACCTTGTTTTGCCTCTAGCTTTAAAAAAAGTGTGTATGTGTGTCTGTCCCTGTGTATTGAGGCCAGAGGTCAAGCTCAGGTGCCATGTGCCTCATATTTTGAGACATCATCTCTCTCCTTCACCTGGAGCTTACTGATTTGGGTAGGCTGGCTGGCCAGTCCCAGAGATCCTTCTGTCTGCCTTCCCAGTGCTGGGATGACAAGCTCGTGCCACCAGGCCTGGGTTTTTTACAAGTTTTCTGGAGATCAAACTCAGGTCCTTATGCTCACATGACAAGCACTTTACCTATGGGGCCATCTCCCGACCTCTGGGTCTTTGGTGACCAGCCATATGACTAAACATGAAGATATTCCCACAGGACCAGTAGGCTGTGACAGCTGCACACAAGACCAGTCCCCTCTGATTTTGCACAGTCTCTATGGCATCCACCTGCATGTGGGCTCTCAGCTGTCAGTCAGTCTCCCTTTAATGTCATTCATTCAGAGAGTTAGGTGCTGGGTTAAAAAAGACAAGGTGGGGCTGGGCGTGGTGGTACACGCCTTTAAGCACTTGGGAGGCAGAGGCAGGCCGATTTTTGAGTTTGAGGCCAGCCTGGTCTACACAGTGAGTTCCAGGACAGCTGGGGCTACAAGGAGACCCTGTCTCAAAAAAAAAAAAAAAAAAAAAAAAAAAAA